CCTTCCTTCCTTCCTTCCTTCCTTCCTTCCTTCCTTTTTTCCTCATCTTCCTTTTTTCCTCATCTTCCTTCCTTGTGTGGGAGGAGCATCGCATTGACATTACTTCTTTCCCTTCTTATCCACTTAATGAAAATTCTCTGGGCACCTGCCGTGAGCCCTGACCTGGATATAACGCAGCGGGTTCCCTGCTCTTGAGGACCCTGCATACACACCTAGGACCCTCCGTATACAACCGCCAGAGACGATGGTACTTCAGTTTTCCAGCTTCTAACCTCACCACCCCACACCTGAACAGCCATCCAGAGCCTTCCCTCAGTCCTTCTCCTATAAGGTTTTAAAACACATCACAACTGCATGTTCATGATAACAGTACCAGGGCAGATATGAAATTAGAGGTGCAAAGAGTTGAGGATGGCATTAAGCACAAGTCTCCTGACTCCGCCCAGTCCCAGGACCCAGAGGAAACCAGTTTGACTACTTCTGTTATGTTGTCCTGACTTGTGTTTGTTCAGGTGGTTACACCATAGTTCTAAGTAGCTTAGACCTTGATTTCACGGTGTGTTGACTCTGGACAGTGTCTATTGACTTCCTGCCATGAAAGGTGATCCAGTTAGTGCACTTCTTCCCCCTTAGCTTTCACGTCTCTCCTGGTTTTGTTGAATTACTTTTAGCTCTTCTATTTGGTGTCCTTATAACATTAAATAATTGGTTTAAATTCAGATATGTTCTACTGCATCGGCTTTGCACAGTGTCTCCAGGCTGCCTACTCTGCAAGAAGGAGAAAGTGGTTTCTGCCCGTCCTGTCCTCCCCAGCCTCCTAGCCCCATGTTCCAGCTTATTTTACATGATCAAGTTCTTTATCAAGTACATAATCAAGTTCTTTTACTTTATCAACTTCTCCATGATAAAGGTTACCACATTTACAGGCTACTCAGTAACTAACTATGACTTCTGTCCACTGACTACTGCAGAAGTCAGGGACTCAGGCCCACAGGGAGGCAGGAGTCAGAGCTGCTCCCAGCCCAGGAATCTGGGTGAGTAGGTGGCTGATGGGCCTGTGTTACAGGTCTGAGGGCAGCCCCAGGGCTTGGGGAATGTGAGGGAGTGCTGGGACGTGCAGCAGTGGTAGACACGCTCACGTCTGTGGTTTTGAACTGGGCTCCCCTCAGCACAGCCGGGGCTGGATGCGGGGCGGGGCTGGATGTGGGGCGGGGGCATCCTTGCTCGCATCCACGCACACGTGAAGGAAGGAGCCAGGAGCACACGAAGAAGACAGCTTATCCACCTTATCTCCACTTGGGGCCCTGGAGCTCCTCTAGCCCAGTCTCCTTGTTCTGCTGATGTGGGAACCAGGGCTGGAGGGCGGTGGGCCGCAGTCTTCCCTCCACAGCACACCTGGGCGCCTGGACAAACTCCAGTTCCCCTCAAGGCCAGGTCAAAAGCCTCTCCCTTTGGAACCCAGCAGTACCCTTCGGGCAGGCCAGAGTCATACACTGTCCACTCCCAGCTCCCATGAGGCCTGAGCTGACTCCCACCATCACTGCGTCTGTCAGCTCCTAAGCTCCTTCAGGTGCGGCTGGATCCTGTCCACGTTGTCTCCCAGGGCTCAGAGGAGAGCTAGCTCAGTGGTGCTACTGGGGAGGGAAGGAAGGAAGGAAGGGCATAGGCCCCAGGCCCCTCTGGTTCCAGGCCCCGCCCAGGCCCCCACACCAGCCCACAGTCTTTCTTGCCCTGCCTGGGGAGCCCAATCCTGGCCACCCTGACGCCTGGGCTGTGTGGCACTTGCTGTTTTTAAACTGTGAAAATGTTCCTAAAAGGTTACAAGGCATCTTGGAGGTTGTTCTAGGGAGAGAAAAATATTGGGCACTGAGCCTCTGAGTTCACAGCAGAGTGGATACTGGGGTGATCTGTCAGCTTGTGCCCTGGCGACACGTCAGCTTGTCCATGAAGCAGCACTGGACTTGCTCCCACCTGGCAGTGCAAAGCCCAGACTCCACAGAGGTTTGGCATCTTCCATGATTTGGTACAACCAGGCTGGCTCTGGGGGCAATTTTGTACACTCTAAGCATGGTCCAGAAAGATGAAATGGGAAACGGGGTTCCAGAACTCCAAGAAGATCCCAGGGCTTATGTCCAAGCCATGGCCAAGCCCACCATCTATATGGCAGTTAATTTTATATGTCAACTTGCAAGGTGTTTTTGGATGAGATTACCATTTGAAAAGGTGGATATTGAGCAAAGCAGCAAGCCTCATCCAATCAATTGAAGGCCTAAATTGAAGAAAAAGACCAGGCTCCCCGAGTAAGAAGGAATTCTGCCACAATGTCATCTAAGCATTAGCTTTGCTGGATCTCCAGCCTGCTGACCCACTGCAGATTTGGATTTGCCAGTCTCCGTAATTGTGAGACAATTCCATGCAATAAATCCCTTTATATATATATAATATATATATATTTGTGTGTGTATATATATGTGTGTATATATATATGTATATATATTTGTTATGAGCCAAATATGTCCCTGCAAATTCACACATTGAAGCCCTAACCCACAATATGAAGGTATTAGGAGGTGGGATTTGGGGGAGGTAATTAGGTTTAATTAGGTCTTGAGGGTGGGGCTCTTACCAGAGTCCAACCATACCACCACCCTGATCTTGGGACTCCCAGCCTCTGGAACCGTGAGAAACAAATTTCTGTTGCGTTAAGCCACCCAGTCTGTGGTATTTTCTTATGGAATACTGAGCTAACACAGCATCTTATTGGTTCTGTTTCTCAGGAGAACCCTGATGAATGCAATCTCATTTATGGGGAGCAGGTGGCAGAACCTGGGGTGACACCCAGGCCTGATGAGCAGTCTTCTCCATCCTGGCCCAGCATGGGGGCAGCCCACCTCCCCCCAACCCCAGCCAAGAGCATTGTGGGAGAGGGCAGGCTGGAAGAAGCTCTGGTGGCCATCCAAGATGGCTGTGATGAAATCAATGAGGAGGCTGTGAGCGGGTCGGTTGCTCTGTGCACACTGAATTCCCCTATGAGGCAGTATCCTGCAGGCATAACAAAAATAGAGTGCGTTTTGATGTTAATCACATGCCTTGGCCTCCATTCTGTTAACAGTGAGTCAGGCAGGAGAGCAATGATTACACCACACCCATTTGATGGAGGAGGAAACTGAGGCCCAGAGACTCACCTAAGGTTACAAAGCAGAAGATACTGGAGTAAGAATCAGAGCCAGGCCTCTCCACTCTTGTCTTTACCTCCTCTACCTCCTTCGGCAGGTCCCAACATGGCAGTGCCCCCAAGGAACGTAGCACAGGATGGCTCAGGGCCTGCACAGAGCAGGTATCTGATGCATGTGTGCAGAATAAACGCACAAAGCAGGTACTCAATACACAGGTGCAGAATAAATGCACAAACAGACAAAAGAGCAGTAAACAAATGGGCCTCACAACACAGTGCCTGACCACAATTGGGCCTCAACAAGTATTTATTCAAATCAGCAAAAGAGGCTGTGAAGGCTGATCCATGATATCACAGTATCCCCGTTGGTGGCTTCCTTCATCTCTCTCTCACACACACACACGTACATGACATCTTCCCAGAACACTTGTGAAACTTTGTCCTGCTTTGTCCTGGCCAAATAGCCCTGTACTATTTGTCCCTCACTCTCAAAATGTACACTCCCAGGACCCCTGCCCACTTCCCCCCGACACACCCCGCTCCCCTCCACCCTCTAATTTCCCCCTCCCTCTCCCCAACCTCCCATCTCCCTAACACACACACTGCCATGTTAGGGAATGGTCTCAACTTCCAACTGCGATTTCAAAAGATGTTGATCTTTGTCAGCTGCATTAATGAATCACAGCCTAGGAGGCGCCAACCTTCCTAAAAATATCTGAGAACCCTCAGTGCAGAGAGGGGCTGTGAAGGCGTGTGCGTCCGGATGGAGCCTTGCCCTGGCTATGGCCCCATCCCCACCTGCTCTGAGCTCCGAAAGCCCGAATGGGTGGGTGCGGAGCCGGTACGTCTGAGAGAGCCTTCATTTCCCCCCACCACACACACACTATAGATAGGGAAACCAAGGCCCAGAAGTGGGAAGGGTCAGAGATGAAGACCTCCTTGGTTCCCAGTGAAGGGCTCTGCAAAGTGCTGTCTCTGTGTCAGCACCTGCTGGGGGTGGGGCGGAAGGGGACTCCTTTGTCTAGAGCTGTGGCTGGGCTGGGCTAGGCTGGGCTGGCCCGGGACCAAGCCCTGCTCTGATGGGACCTCAGCTGCCCACCACGCAGATCCAATAAAGAGCTCCTCCAGGCTGAAGCAGTTCACCAGGGACAAGGGGGAGAGGGGAGGTCGCACAGGGCCCCCAGGCCATGGTGGGCTTGCCCTCTTATAACTGGTTTATGCTTCTCAAGCAGGGAGACTAGGAATGGCCCCCAAGATGGAGAGCGGCGGCATTGAGACAGTTCTGCTTCAGAGAGAAGTGAGTCCATTCCTCTGAAATTCCTGCACAGGGAGCTTCTTAGTGCTCACCCTGGGCCCCACTCCCCACCCCGTCATAGAATCCTCCAGGTCTCTCTGGCAGCCCCAGCCATGTTTCTTCACATGTGGCCCCAGGACCAGCAGCAGCACCTGGGAGCTTGTTGGAAATGCAGACTCTCAGGCCCCACCCCAGACCAGCTGGATCAGATCCCCAGTGTTTTTATGCCCATTGGAGTTTGAGAAGCACTGGCCTGTGAAACCACGTAGCATCAGGTCACACCCCGCAGTGACGTGTGATTAATTAATTGCACATGAACAATATTATTAATTAGCTGGGAGGGAGGCCGGAGGACTAAAATAGGAGAGGGGGACCCCCTAGGATGGCAAATCCATATGAAAAGTTGAAACTGCTGCTCGGCCCCTCTGGAGGAACGAGGTTCATAAAATGATTGAATCTGGGGAAAATAAAGGTGGGAGACTCTGGTCCTGCCCTCTTCCTGAGGCTGGAGCTCCTCTGCAGTCTCTCCAACAGCTGCTTTCCAGTCCCGGCTTGGGCTCCTACCATGACGGGGAGCTCACTACCTCCCAGGCAGCCACTGGGAGGAGGACGGCTGTGACCCTGCAGGCCCCCATCACATGGAGCTGATCTGCCTCCAGGCCCCCACTGGCCTGCTCGCCAGCACTTGGTCCCCTCTGGGCTGCCCGTCTCCAGGCCTATCCTCCTTTGATCCTCGACGCCCTGCCACTTTATTCTTTCTCTAGTCCCAGAAATAGTCTTTCTATTTGTGTGTGGAGAGTCATTTTATGGGTCTCTTTTCACTGAGCGTGGAGGTGTTGAAGAGGCCTCTATGGAGGCAGAACTTCTGCTGTGAGGATTCAGTGAGTTGGCCTCACTTCACTTCTTCCTCTGGCCATCAGACAAGTGGGCACAGGGCAGGCTTGGTTAAGTCAGAGGCCCTGGGAGGTGGTACCTCCACGGGCCCTTCTGAGCTGCAGACGCTATGGTGCACGTCTAGGGCACAGGTGCAGGGGATGCTGGGTGACTGCCAGGCATCACCCCTTGCTGCAGTGAGGGCCACGGGGACCGCAGGGGATTGAAGAATCATGTCTCAAGGAGCTGTGGGAGACAGCAGATGTATGCAGCCCAGGGGCCCAACTCTCTGTCCCTCCCTGCCCTCTCCATAGGGCTCCAGACCTGTACCTCTGGACACCTCCAACTGCCCACACCATAGGCCTCAAACTCAAATCTTCTAGAGCTGAATTCATCCTCCCCTTCCCCAGCACTGCAGCCACATCTCACCAAGTGGCACCATTGTTACCCAGGGTCCAAGCTGCAAACTAGGGGTCACCTTCAGTTCTGCCCCCCATTCCCTCCCCCTTATCTCCTCCATACCTCTCACGAAGTTCTCAGACTCCTGAACGTCTGGTGGCCATGCCATGCAGAGGGGAAAACACTGGTCTCAGAGCCCAGGAACATTGTTCTGGTCCCACCCTGTCACTGACTCAGGCATGTTCTGATCCCTCTCTGAACCTTTCCCCCATCTACACGGTGACGACCCCTCAGAGCTGGGTTACTCTAGACCTATGGTGACAAATGGAAGCCACTAGGTACAGGCGACTATTTAAATTTAAAGTTAAGTTGAATAAAAAATTCAGTTCCTCAGTCACACTAGCCACATTTCAAATGCTTAACCATCACTGGTGGCTGGTGATTACTATATTGGGCAGTGCAGGTATCGAACATTTCTGTCATCACAGAAAGTTCTGAATAGACAGTGCTGTTCCACAGGCCAGTGAATTTGAATGAACCAAGGAATCACCTGGGCTCTTGTTAAAATGCAAATTCTGACCCAGAGGCTGGTGGGGGCTGGTGGGGGGTGCAAATTCTGTGCCTCTAACGAGCTCCCTGGTGACATCGCTGCTGTTAGGCTGAGTTCCGCTCTGTGAGTAGCAAAGGTCTAGATGGTGCTGCTCATCGTGAATGTGGGGTTGGCAGCATCAGCACCAACTGGCAGCATCTGAGAGATGTAGAATCTCAGGCCCCACCCTAGACCTGCTGAATCAGAAGTGCTGGGGGGCCCAGGAATCTGTGTTTTAGCAGGCTCTCCAGGTGAGTCACGGGCACATTTGAGTTTGAGACTCCTGATCTAGAAGGCAGAGTCTGTCGGGATTCCACGAAGTAGCTGCTGGAGTTAAACGACATCACTTCTCTCCCAAAGTGTTCTGCTAGGTTCAAACTTGCTACCCTCAAGCAGAGATGGGGAACCTCGTGTCACTTCCGTTAGGGCTGCATCCTGCTTACTGGGGGATCAGGAAGAGGAGAGGAACAGCAGCCAGGTCTTGTCCTGAGCTCTCTTTGCAACTGGAGCTCCAGATAGCCGGTCACGGCCACTTCTTCCCAGCAGCAGGCCCAGCGTTCTCTGTGGAAAGAAACAGAGCCGCAGTGTCCAGCCAAGGACAGGTGCTCACTTCTGAGCCTGCACGCCACGGGGAGGGCAGGCCTTTCCCCCTGCTCGGCTCACTTAGACGCCTAAGACTGTGAGGCCCAGAACAAGGCTAGCTGCCTGCTCAGAGCCAGCTGTGAATAGGAATTAAAGTGGGGACAGGGCCACACCCAGCACCCAGCTCAGATTCTGAACACTAGCAGCCCGCAGCACTGCATGCACACTCCCTGGTGGCCCACGGCTCTCCATGGCTGCATCCCCTGCCTGCAGCCTGCTTTCACCCTCCACCACAACGGCTCCTCCACCAGATCAGGGGCCCACTGCGTCCTGCCACTCCTGTCCACTTGTCAGACAGTCTAGGGTCCCTCTGAATGCCATGCCTCCCCACAATTACTGATTTTGATGGAGTGGGTCTCCATGCCACACACCACACCCTGACCCACGGGTGCCCAGGAGACACCCTCTGGAGCCTGATTCTGGCAGGTATCTCCATCCTCAGGCACACCTGGAACGGGCAGCAGTTGGCACCTGTCCCCCTTCCCCAGGCAGGCCAGCCATGCCCCATGGGACCTCCCGGCATGCCTTGCAGCCAGGGCACGTCTAACACCCTGCAGTTATCCCACTGGAAGATGGACGTGCAACCTCTGACCTGGCTCCACCTGTCTGGAGCAGGACCCTCCGGGGACAATCCAAGGCCACCCAGAAGACCACAACAGGAAGGGGTTTGTCACTCCTCTCAGGATGTAGAGGGAGAAGGGCAGCCCAGAGAGAGCCAGAGACCAGCTGGAGGCCTCACAGTGAGCTGGATGCCGGTCCAGGGCTTGGACTGAGGGGCTCTTTCTGCCCCGCAGGCCAAGGCTTCTGCAGAAACAGTCAGACCAGCCGCTGTCTGTTGAGGGGGGCCGTGCAGGCTACTTCGCAGGCGATGCTGCTGGGCACCGTGGTCCTGAGGATCCTCTTAATGAAGAAAACTTACCTCGCCAAGGTCAGGCAGCTAGCCAGTGCTCCTGCTGCGCCCGCAGGACCTCTGTGCCCTCAGGGCTGGATGTGGCCTGTTTCCCAGGACAGGGACCCTCTGCAACTCCCAGGCCACACTCAGCAGCTCTGCCCCATGCTGCCGCTGACCAGAAGCTCGCTCCTTAGGGAGGCCTTCCTGTGGTGGCCAGACTTCTGCTCCCTGTGGCTGAGTCACAGCTGTTTGCCTGTAACCACTGTGTACTCCACACCCTCCATGGCCCCACCGCACCTGTGCAGGGCTTTCGGAGTCACAGACAGTGCCCAGGTCCACCTCCTTGGAAGGCCAATCTCCCCTCTTCCTGGACTGACCTCTGAACTGCCCAGGGATCCATAGCATGTGGACCAGGGTAGGATAGTCCCCAGCTCCCTGCATTTCTGCCCCAGTGGCCTGAGTGCTGAGTCACGTGGAGCCACACGTGCCCCCCAGCCCTTGGTCCAGGAAGAAGAGGCAGACAGCCCCCCGGCCCTGAGCACACCCGCACCCTGGCATGGGCACCTTTCCTCTTCCTGGGGGTCGCCTTGATGCCCCTCCACCCCATGAGGATAGGGATTGAGCTTCTCCTGCTCTGTCAGAGTCTCCTGACACCGTGGAATTCACATTTATTGAGTGTCTGCTTGTGTCAGAAACCGTCCTGGGCACCATCACACACATTCACTTAATCCTCTCAATAACAGTATCTGGTGAGTATTGTTAACCCATTTTACAGATGACAAAACTAGACTTGGACAAGTGACATCACTGCGAGAAGGCCACCTCCTTAGTAAGTGGCAATGGTAGGATTCAAACCAATGTGGGCAACCCCTGTGTTCAAGTGCTCTCCACAGGCCAAGCCGCAGCCCACCCAAGGTGCTATTTCTGGAAAAAGCTTGTGGCACCTGGCCTGCCCCTCAATCTGATCCCTACTAGACTGAGGCCAGGCCCAAAAAGGGGCTGAAAAGGAAGCCCTGTTGAGGGCTCTGTGTCTGCAGGGCGGCAGGAAGGCACCAACCCCAGGGACCTCTGTCCCCACCCCCACCCTCACCCCAGCTGGTCTGACGGACCAGAGAGTGGGGCCTGAGGACTGCAGGCAGTGCTGGCAGCCAAACAAAGGGGTCGCAGTCAGCCAGACACTTCCTCACTGCACAAAGCCCTACTTCCCCCCTAGACACAGGACCCCAAAGAATGCTTGGAATGTCGCTGGGGCCAGACAGCCTCCTGCAGATGCGGAGAGGCTGGCTTTGTGTTCAGTTTGCCAGGACGACTGACCCCGAGTTAGAAAGGTCACTCCCTGACCTGTGACCTTCCTTTTACCCCGTTTGTGGTTGTAGGGTGGGAGGGGTAGAAGGAGGGGTGAGCTGGTCTTCCCTTCAGTGGCTCTTCCACACCAGTGGGATGGGGCCCCAAGTTTGCAGCAGCTTTGGGAAAGAGAAGAGGGGATCCCCTCCTGACAGGAGCTCACACAGCCCCTAAGAGGTTGGACTCAACCCTGGAGACAGTCCAGGCCTCCCCTCCTCCCCAGTGAGAGGGTTCCTGGGGTTCACTTGCACAGTCAGCTCCATGGACAGTGGCAGATCCAGTCCTACCTCATTTGCTCCTCCCTCTCTGGGCTGCTCTGTGCCACAGGGCCTATCCCCGCCGGCTACGCCTGCTAGGTGCCCCAGCTGGCCTAGGAGCAGATGTGAATCCCTGCCCTCACAGGGTTTGCATTCTAGCAGGCGAGAAAGGCAGTAAGCCCCAACCCTAAGGAAACTATAGGAGGTGAGCAGTGTGATGGAGAAAGAGGCAGGTGGGGCTGGGTGGTAGGTAAGGTGAACGGGGTGGTTAGGAGAAAAGGAGGAAAGGAGACGTTTGATGAAAACTCAAAGGAAGTGAGCCTTGTAGGGAAGAACATTCCAGAAAAAGGGAACAGCAAATATGAAGCCTTGCTTGTTCAGGGCCAGCAAGAAGGACAGAGTCGGCCAGGGGAGGCTCCTGGGAGCTGAGGTCAGGAGGTAATGAGGACAGTGTGGGGGCTGCGAGGGCCTCTGCGGGGCCTCAACACTTAACTCCTTGTGAGATGGTGCCCTTGCAGGGCTTTGAGCAAAGGAGCACTGGGACCAGCCTCGTGAGTGTTAATAAGACCGCCTGCTGCCACGTGCAGGCTGGACGAGGTGGCGTGGGAGGAGGCCGGAGTTGCACCGGAAGCTCCTGGGCCTGGTCACCCTGCACACACCCTCACACATCTCTGTCCCACAGCAGCTTGCACCCAGGGCCTGGGGCTGGCAGCTGCCAGGGCGACATCCATTCTACACTCAGTGGGATAGGCGAGGCCCTGTGTTGGGGGGCAGGACATATGGAGAGCCACAAGACACAGTGCTTCCCTCGAAGAGCCCCTTACTGATGGGGAAACAGGCCAAGGCGGCCTCTCCCTGCTCTGAGCCTTGGAGCTCAAGGTTGAGACTGCCCTAGGGACACATACCCATTCCACTGGCATGGTGCCTGCTTGCCTCGGTGCCCCAAGAGGCCTTCCTGGCTGCTCTAAAGCTTGGGCCGCAGTATAGCCTGTGGCTTGAGGACCCCAGTGCCCACTTCCAGGGACCCAGGCAGCGCTGGGCCAGTGGTTGGAAGACAGTGGGCCCTTTCCAGGGTCAGCAGTGGCATGGTTGGTGGGATTCTTGGTAGACTTGGAGTTAGAGCCCAGCCAAGGACAGCTGAATATGAGAAGGAAGGAGGAAGGGGGCCCATGTCCGTCCAACCCTGAAAGCCAGAGAAACATTTTCAGCTTGCCTGTGACTCACTCTTCCTCAGAAGAATACTGCTTTTGCCTTCAAAAATCACAGATTTCCACCTTCAGACAACAGCGGGTTCTCAGGAAGTTACATGTTTTGTTTTTCTGTGCAAGCCACTGGGGGGTAGTGTTTATTTTACACTAAAGCAATTATTTGCTGTTCATCTGGGATTCATATTTAGCTGGGTGTCCTGTATGTATTTTTATTGGCCAAATCCAACCATCCTATTTAGCGGTTAGCCTGGTCTGAGGGGCAGTGTGAGCCTCAGACCCCATTACTGTAAAGCATTTCTAAAAAAAACACTGGGGAGGGTCCAGGTTCTGGGGACAGGGACCAGTCTCCTTCTTTGCCCTCAATAGCCCAGCCTGCGTGCAGCATGAGCTCGGGGTCTGCTAAGTCAACGTGGGTCAAAACAGACAAGAATCTCTGCCCTTTAACAAAGATAGAGATGGAAACTAAGGCCTGACTCTGGAGACAGCTGTTCGCTAGCCCTTCACACCAGAAGCCCCTTCCTCAGGCTGCACCCCATTTCCCAGGACTTCCCTTCCCCTGCCCCCTCTGTGTTTGTCCACCTCTGGGCGTGGCCTGAGGCCCCGTGTCACTTCCAGACTCCTGGAGTCTGAGGCCTGCCTGGCAGCCCGGCCCCCAGTTCCCATCTCTTCCTGCTGAACACTCCCCACATTGTTTGTCTTTGTGTCCTTCTTCCTGTGCCTGAGCTATTCCAAATTTATTGCCCTGGTTCTCTCCAGGGGTCATTCACTAAATTGACACTGGCGCTGCAGACTGGAAAAAAGAGCCTCTCCAACCCCTAGGACCTCCTCCTGGTGAGGAGAGAGGACAGCTGAGAACCCCCTCTTGCTGCTTGCTCTCCCGGACCCTGCAGGACCCTCGTTCTGGCCTACAAGGTTGCCATGATCCTGTCCTCGGCCCATGTTCACTGGAACTTCACGACGGAGTCTTTCTCAGGCTCCAGACCCAGGGGCCCGGGGCGGTGAGCCCTGCCAGTGCAGCTCCTGGGGGCCTGGGACAGAACACAGATCACTGCATCTCATGGTCCCGTCTGCTGGGCCTCTCCTAGGACAGGCCAGAGGGGCTGAGAACAGGACCACAGACTTACGGCCACCTCCCAGTTCCCAGAGCATCTGCTCCATGCTCTCCTCATCTTACTTTCAGGGAATCCAGGCTCAGAGGGGTTAAGCCATCTGCTAAAGTCCCAGAGCTGATAAGAGCCAGGCCTGGGACTGAGACTCCGGACTTCTGGTCTCACACCCAGTGTTCTTTCCTCCCTCTGCCAAGTGTTTGAATTGGTCCTCAAGCCCGTTCTTTGAAGAGGGGGTAGCACGGGCCCCCCCAGAGGGAAGCCTGGGAAACAGAGCTCAGGCTGGCTCCAGGGCCAACTTCTTACATGGTTCCCGTCAGGCTCTCACCCGGCTTGGCTACCTCCTTCCAGCTCAGAACACCAAGATTTCCTGGTTTGGGCCACTTTCTTCTGATAAGAGTCTCTCCTGAACCAAACTCAGACTCTTCTAAACTCTCTTCTCAACTAGGCCCTGGCTTTTGGGTTTCGGTGTTCATCTCTACACTGTCCAGTTTTAGAAAGAATCTTGCTAAGGTGGTTTGCCAGAATCCCCCATTTTTGATGTCTGATCAGCTTCAGTACCTGATGGGATTCCTCATCCCCTGACCACCCCCAGGTAGTGAGTGATCACCCTGACCTGCCTTCAGCAAGAATCCTGTTACATAGGTTTAGCCAGAACCCTATTACCCTCATGTTTCCTCTTACTAATTTTCCATCCACTGACACCCCCTGCTTCTTAGCTATAAATTCCCACCTTTCCTTATACTTAGAGTTGGACCCACTCTCTCTCTCCTAGTACAAAACCCCACTGCAGTGGTCCCTATATCTTTTGTGACAGTCCCCTGAATAGATTCTGCCTTACCATTCTTTAACGAGTGATGAAATAACTGTTCCTTTAACACCGCTGTTCCCATAAGGACACACTTCCACTGCCTCTTGCCATCACTGACCCAGACCATGGGGCTACAAAAACTCCTGATTCTCAACTTGATATAGCCGTAATGATACAGCCCTAAGATTTGAAATTATTTTCCCAACCCTCCTCTACCCCAGGCCTGTGATTGGTAACTTTGTTCCAAGGAGAGACGGCATGATGTTGTGCAAAAAACAAGAACTGTTGTCATCCACTCAACCTGCGTTCTTATTCTGGTTCCATCGCTGAGTATCTGTGAGATCTGAGTCAGGTCACTAAAGCTCTTTGAGGCTCAGTATCCTCATTTGTAAAATGGTCAGAATTATTAAAGATTAAATAAAATAATGAAGTGTACCTGGAACATAGGAGGTCCTTAATAAATGGCACAAATTATTATAACCTTCACAAGCTCCTTCCTCCGATTTCCAACCAGGAACTAGAGCCCTGGGATCAGTTCCCAGGCTGTCCCACCCAGGGGTCATGGGGCCTGCCCAGGAGTCAGGACAAGTCCAGGTACCCACTGCTCTGAGGCTTCAGCTCTGCCCTCTGCACTTCTAAGTTCTCCCTGTGACACCTCAAGGGAGCAAAGGTGCTTGTGCAGCCTACCTGCCACCTAGGACGTCCATGACTCCACAGTCCCCGGGGCCAGGGCCCACTGGTGGCCACCAATGCATAAGGAATGGGGTAGGCAGAATAATGTGCCCCCAAAGATACTGAATCCTGAGCCCTGAAACCTATATTACCATAGTGGGTTGAACTGTTTCCCAAAAAGGTGTATTTAAGTCCTAATCTCTGGTACCTGTGAATTACCTGGAAATAATTTCTTTGCAGATGTAGTTAAGGGATCATCCTGGATTTAGAGTGGCCTCTAAGTCCAAGAAAAAGGAGGTTTGACACAAACAGGGAAGAAGTCCACGTGAAAACAAGGCAGAGACTGGAGTGATGCTATCACAAGCCAAGGAACACCAGGAGCCACAGAAGCTGGAAGGCTCAAGGAAGGAGTCTCCCCTGGAGCCTCTAGGGGGCGCATGCTCTGGCTGAGACCTTGATTTTGGACTTCTAGCCTTGAACTGCAAGAGAATAAATTTCTGTTATTTTATGCTACCACATTTGTGGTGGTTTGTTGTGGCAGCAACTAGGAAATTAATAGTTACCTTGTTTGGAAAGAGGGTCCTGGCAGATGTGATTAAGTTAAGGGTCTTAAGATGGGGACACTAGCTTGGATTCTGCAGGCGGGCCCCAAATACAGTTGCATGTATTTGGGAGGGAGGCAGAGGGAGGTCTGACACAGAGGAGGAGAAGGCAATGTGAAGACAGAGCAGAGAGAGATTTGAGGATGCTGGCCGTGAAGAGCAGAGTGATGCAGATACAGCCAGGGGTTGCCAGCAGCTATTAGGAGCTGGGAGAGGAAAGAAATAGATCTCTTTTCTGGAGGGTGTGCAGGCCTGCCAATACCTTGGCTTTAGCCCGGTGAAATTGGTTTGAGACTTCTGACCCTCAGAACTGTGAGAGAATAACTTTCTGTTGTTTTAAACCACCAAGTTTGTGGTAATTGGTTAGAGCAGCCAAGAGACACTAACACAGAGGTAGCATGGCAGGGGCTGCATCGGACCCCCTCCTCAGGGCCTTATGGCCTCGTCTCACCAGAAGCAGCAGCCCCGCTAGCCCCTCCCCTGTTGCCTCACTTCCCAAGCCCCAGATAGAAGAGGGTCCCACCCCAAAGCCTCCCTGCCGTGGTGGCTGGGTTTACAGTGTTAGGTGTGTAGGTGAACATGCAAATCCTTCCCTCCAACCCAGTTCCTGCAGTTTAGTACAAAGCTGGGTGATCAGTCCCCTCCTGTCTGAGGCTGGGCTGGGGTATGTGGACAGGGGCAGTCTGGGAGCCCAGACACCTAGGGGAGAGGAAACCCTGCCTGAGGTGTGGCCAGCCTCTGCCCTGGGCTTCTGCCAGCCTGGTCCAGGAGCCAGGCCCTGGGGACCTGAGGAGGAGAGGCCCAGCAAACCCAGGACCCTGGCTGTCCTTCCACTGAGAGATGCACCAACCTCATCCTATCAGCCTCGGGACGCCCCACGCTTGCCCACGGTGCCTTGGATCTCTCTTGAAGGTGTGCTTTGTATTTGTTCTTCCCAGGGTGACCCCAAGCCCCTAACTCATTCATTTTAATCCTGAGACCCACATTATTCGGCAGGTTTCGAGTGGCCATTTTGTAGATTGAAAACCTAAGATCTAGAGGTTCCCCCAAAAAGGACGAGGTCAGGGTAGACCAGAGGTTCTAAAGGAGTCTCTGCCCCCTGGGCCTTTGCTTCTGGAGGTTCAACCAGATCCATGAGCCCAGTTTTTAACTCAGTAAGAAGCTAATGACTTTCCCCTTCCTGTTCAGCTCTTGGGTTAAGTTATTTTCCCTTCTGCTCTGCAAGGAACGAAAACAAGTCATTTTCTCATAAAAATAACAATGAGCAAAACCCGGATTCCAGAGAGCCTCCAGTCAGAGCCAGTAAACCTTCAGGCTTCCCAGGGGACCCGGCACTCCTGCCCCAGTCCAAGCGAGGAGAGCCAAGGCTTTGCTCTAGCGTGTCGGCCTGGCTCATGCTTGAGTCTTCCAGGAGACAGAGTGTGAGCAGGAAGACCAATGTCAGAAATCAAAGTATGTTGGACACTCGATGCTGTTTGGAATGCCACAGAGAATGAAAGCCAGGTCCTTCCCGTGCATGCTGCCCTCAAGAATCCAGAGAAATAGCATGTTCACAGCAGGGGAAACAATTGCACTGATTAATTGTGCTTCTGTTTATGCCTCCGTTCTCCAGACTTCTGAGTGCCTTCCAGCGGCCATCTGCCAGATGGAAGTGCTGTCACACACAGCTTCTCGGTGCAAACTGCAAGGCTTTGAGGCTCCAGCAAGCTTGTCAGAACTCCATTTCCTAAATGGCCATAATCAAAGAACAAGCTCCTAGTTATCTAGCAATGAGCTTTGGAAATAGAGGTGTATGCAAAATTGCAATTTATGAGTTCAGCCAATTTTTCTTTTTCTGCTAAAAATATCAGCCTATGAAAACCTCATAGCTTTGGAGGAGATGCAACCAATTGCTAATTATCTATGAGCGGTTTATCCGTTGCTACCTCCTTCTTCCCACCGCTGCGAAGGGCCCTAGGCTTGGCAAGTAGGGCTGAGCAGGCCTTGGAGAGGGAGTGTGGGAGACCTCATTCCCAGACCCCACAGGCCAGGGCACCAGCGGGAAGATAGGAGTACCTCATGGCTGGAAATATGCGGCTGTAGACAGGGAGCATGGTCAGCCTGGTTCATGGGGGGACGATGGCCCAGCCAGCCCCATTCAGCTGGCTCCTGGTCTTCATGTAGCAGCACCCGGGGGCAGGCAGTGCTGGGCAAGGCTGGTCTCCTGGCCATCCCACAAAAGAATCCGCTTCCTAATCCAGTGGACTACACATTGGGAAGTTCATGGGAACCAGGCCAGACCCTTCAGTTCAATCCTGTCCTGAATGGGTGCAGTCGGCTCCACCAAGATGGACTGGATAGAAGCTGGGGCACTGGGTTCAAGACCTAGCTCCGGTGATTATCAATCCTGGTGCCCTGGGGAAGTCACGGGGCCTTTTGAAATCTCAAACCCCTCATCTCTGTAATGCGATGCTCAATGCTCGTGTTGGCCTTGCTTGGGTTTTGGCCAGAAATAAACGAGAACATGGAGGGGGTGGTGGTTGTTATTACTGGCATAAAAAGAGCCATTTCCCAGCTCATTAATGTGGAAAATGTAAACATGTCTGGATGCCTAAGGACAAAGGCCCCGCCGGCCCTTTCCGCACTGCCTTCTCACCCCCTCCTCACCCCCATATTGTTGGGAGTTTGTTTTGATTTTTCTGAAACTCACAGAACAATGGGTTCTGGGGGTTGGTTCTGCCTTATTCATACTCCCAGGGGATGCATTTGCTGAGCTGAGGCCACATTCCAAGGGTAAGGGGTCTGGAGGGATGTTTACCTGGCTCAGTCCTGCAGCCCAGAGAGGCCGTGCTGAGGGCAGGAAGCTCAGGGACACCACCCTGTCGACCCTGCAGCTGGAAGCCCTCGTCCTGAGCCTCCTGGGCTTATTTTCATCCAGCAGCTGACTCCAAGGCAGGAAAGGCCAAGAGGGGCCGACTTCCTCCTCCTCCAGCTCTGACATCCAAGATGCTTTTTGGCCTCAACACACAGACTCCCCAGCTCCTCAGCCACACTCTGCTCCTACCTTGTAGGCACCCAAAGGTATTGAGCCCCTCTCTCAGCCTCCCTGGAGGCCTCATTCCAGTGCCAGGTGAGGGGGCGGTACACTAGCGAGGAAGCCAAGGTGTGCCTCCTTCCTCCTCTGCTCTCCCTGCTTGAGCCTCCAGGTACCTGCATCATCCATCCATGGGCCAGGTGTCCACAGGCCTGCCCTTCCACATGAAGCCCTGGTTCGGGACTCCTCCACATCCTGAATGCCACCCCCTCCCTCAGGTCACCAGGGAGGACAGGAGCAGCTGAGGAGATAATTTAAGGTATGAGTGGCTGATAGGTGCCGGACACCCACACTCAAGGAGGGGCTGCTCATCAGAAGATAACTGTTTCCAAAAAGGGATGCCCAAGAAGTTCCTGATGAGCTGCTTGGGAGGGGGCCGGAAACCCATCCCATCCCACCTTCTTTCTGGCCATGCTTCTCTCCCTCGATCTTTGCTTACATTCTTTCTTCCACCTGGACTCTGCCCATTGCTTCTCCTTTTCTGTCCTCAGAGGACCAGCCAGAGCCTCACCTCCTCCAGGAAGACTTCCCAGGGCAGACCCTTCTGCCACTGGAGGCATAAACAGGTATCCTGCTTTCCATGCCTCTAATGGGACTTTCCTGAGCCTCAGGCCTGATTCCAGAGGCTCTGACACTTTTTGGACTCATGCCCTTCTCTGTAGAGCAGGGACTACTTCATAGTGCTGTCAGTGCCTGGCACAGAGCAGGTGCCAACAACTATTGCTACCCCCAATATTCTGCAGGAGAGGGAGGCCTGCACAATGCCCTCAGTGTGAGTCCAGGGTCCACATCACAAGCTGGGGATATCTTATTCTACAGTAGGAATGGACACTGATCCCAGCACAGAGTCTACACTGTTTCCTGGACTTCTCCTGCCTTCTGGGAAGTAGAACTTACAACCAGAAGGACAATGCAGGCTGAAGTTTCTGTTTCTATTCTGTGTAAAAGAAGTTACTTTCTAAGGACCAAAAAACACCCAGTCATATCCTTTTGTTCAGTGGAAAACAAAACATGGGGTCAGAATTTCCATCAGTGAATCTTTCCCCATTGGGATGTCCAGAATATTCATGGGAATCCCCTGCACCAATTTACTGGAGGTCTGTAGCCTCTTGACATCCCCTTTCATCTGAAGCTCTAGCTCTAGGCAAGAGGGGAGGGGAAAACATGGCAGATGGAGAGCCAGCCATGGAGGCCCAGATGTGGGGTTGAGCAGGGAAGGTGCAGCGGCCACAAAGAGGCCAGTAGGCTCAGAGCGAGGGAGGTAGAGGCTAGGTGTGCAAAATGGGGCCACATCACAGTGGCTGCAAGTGGCAGACAGTGGGCAGAGGTGGCCCTGAGGCTGCATCTGGAAGGTGGAGCCATGTCTTGAAGAAAGCTGGGCTTGGGGATTATTGTCCTGACTGTTCCTGGGGCCAACTGGCAGGGTGAGGCTGAGGGGAGTCCAGAAGGGTCCTGAGTAGAGAAGATAGGAACCTGGCAGTCAAAGGGGATGGGAAGAGGATGAAGTGTGTGTGGATTTGCAGACAGACACCAAGTGAGCTGAGTGGGGCTGAGAGCTACAGGGGCCAGGACAGGGACATTAGAAAGGGGAGCATGTCTGGTACAGGAGAACGTGCCAATCTGGGATTAGACACACTTATTTCCCCCCCGAGTGCATGCCTAAATCGTGCACGCTCGGCCGTAAGGGGATATAGCGAAGTGCTCACTGCCAACTCGGGTACAAGGCCCCACTGTCCTTCACAAACATTCTGGAGCACACACTGTGGGCCGAGCACTGTGATAAGCACCAGGGAACGACCCAAAAGCAACATTCATTTAGTGCTATTGGGCACCAAGCTTCCCCAAGGAGAGAGCCACTGAATTGGGTTTGCAGGGTGATAGGAGTGTGCCATGGACATCAACTGGGACATGGGTGGCCCAGTGTGGGCTAAGGCTAGGGGACTCCAGGGAGATTAAGAACTGGGGACACTGCAAATTGATGTTCTTTTAATATTGGTTCATTACTTATGTGGGGGTTGGGGCTGAGAGCTGAGTGGGAGGAAAGGAGAAAGGGAACACTTTCTGTTGGCCTGAGCAGGGCAGCACTGGCCCCACAGTCGGAACACATGGAAAGACCAAAGGCCTGCAGAAAGTTCCCCAACCATCTGCCGGGGCCGAGTGTGATTCGTAAGGCCTCCCCAAGTATCTTGTCCAAGACTTCCCGTGAACCACATGCAGTGTTCTTCCTAGGAGAAGCTCTCGTCTATGCAACCTTCCCGTCTCCTCGCACAGTTCCTGTGATGCGTCAGAAGTTGTAATATAGCACCAGTGTGGTGGAAGGGGGCATGGGGATGAAGACTCTTCGGGCTGAAGGAGGGCGCATCTGGGAAGTGTCAGGATGCTTATCCATGGCTGGTGGGTAGGCTGGAGGTAGAGATGGGCAGGAGGTGTAACACAGGTGCCTTACATGCATGCTGGCCGTGTCAGAACTACCAATGAGGCCTCTTTCTTCAAATCTCTGTGTTTTTGTGGCCAGGGGTGATCACAGACTTGCAAAAGCTATGGTAACGTGTCCAATTGCTCATAATGATCTACCAGGCTGTGAACCTCTCAATGGAAAAGTCAGTGCTGTGTCATTTCCCCTTAGGTAACTTGCCGGTCCCTGGCAAGGAGCACAGGAAGAAGGCTCAGGAGCAGGGCTCCCGAATCTTGGACGGCAGTGTAGGGCAGAGGTGGAGTGGCAGCCCACTGGGAACAGTGTCTCTTTCCCAGTGCCTGTGGTCCCACCTGCGGCCTCTCAGCTGCTCTGGGCTTGTCCTTAGGGGAGGGATGGGCGCAGAGGAACCTTGGTCCCAGGGGTTTCCGGGACCAATCCCTGGGCTCGCTATACCTCTCCCTGTGGGCCTGGATTTCCCACCCCTACAGTGTTTCTCTCTGCACTGTGCTCTGAGCAACTGCTCACCATGGTAACCAAACAGATGGGAATCTGGCTGAAGGGGGCAGTGACACCATTCTTAGGCCTTGGACTGACTGGGTGGTTCTTTCCCAGAGGTTCTGGAAGGTGGCCCCACCCACCACCTGCATCCGGAGGAAAGGTGAGCCTTCCAGGGAACACATTCAGGCCCTGAGTCTCTGGGAGGTGATTCAGAATAGAAGCCGAAACCCATTCAGAGCTCTGAGGGAATGAAGGAAAGAGAGGAAACGCCATCAGTGAGGGCGGCCGTGAGCCAGGCAGTGGCACAGGTAAACGCATGCATGCCCACAACAGCTTACGAGCATCTCATATTATAGAGGAGGAAATTGAGGCCTAGAAAGGTGGAGTAACTTGCTCCAGGCCACAAAGTTGGTGGGTGTGTGGCCGTGTGACTCTGGAGCCCTGCTCTGTACCAACCGGTGGGTGTACTTTAAACCACAACAACAAATAACGGCAGTATCCAAGTTCCAGGACTGAAGTGGCCTCAGTACCACATGGCTCTTTGTTTCTGAAATCCCTGTGGAATCCAGCCAAGTGCAAAGTCCAGCCCTTATTCCCTCCCAACCCCCACAGGCTAAGCCGGGTCTGGCCATACACCCCTGACCCCAGCCCTCGACTTCCTGCCAGGCCCAGGTTGGCCCCCCCGGGATGCTCCAAAGACACTTGTCTGGAGCTTTTCTTGAGTCCAGGAAACTCCACAGGACACAGCTGAGCCTGGGCGGCCCTGCACGGCCACGTCTGGAGCGCACGAAGCAGGGGTTTCCCTGGGCTCCGTGAGCGCGGGGTCCTGGCTGGCTCTCTCTGCCCAGCACCTACCCCTGCCTCCGGGAACTCTCTCAAGGCCAGGGGACTCGGGCTCGGGGCTGTTGGTGGGCGGCGAGCTTCCCGGGACTGTCCAGTGACAGGGCTTCCCCAGAACGTGATCTTCCTCGATGAGATCATCTTCCCTTTCAGGCTGGGCCGGGAGCTCCTCAGGCACAACAAAGCAGGCGCAGGAGATATCCTGCATGACTCACTGGTGGGCCCTGCACCGGGGGGCTTCCGGCCCTCAGGAGAAACCAGACAGAGGGCCATTGTTTGCCCCGGAAGCCCCCGCTGGCTCTGCAGCCTCAGTGGGGCCATTTGGTTTTCTGCCTGGTTCTCTGTCACCGCAGTCCTTCTAGGGGATGGGGGCCACCATATCCAGTCATCCACCCACAGTCCCACAAGAATGCTCCTGACAGGACAAGGGCCAGGCCTGGGAGGCAGCCGACCTCCTCTCTCTCCCTCTTAGCTTAATAAAAAGTGAATAAAAAGGGTATGGATCAGCAGGGGAGACAGCTGCAGATCTGTTTCTATTATCATCTCTCCAGATGGTTATCTAGGGCAGAAGCACCCTGATCCCACACCCACGCTCCTCCTCAGAACTCGGCCCACACTCAGGGACACAGGCCGGAGCGGCTGGTGCGGGAGGCCCGGGCCTGGTGTTCCGCGCTGGGCGAGCCGGGGAATACGGAGAGGAGAGCTGAGCAGCTGCCCCTGGGTTTGGACTGAGCTGGGGGCCCTTAGGAACCGCAAAGGGAAAAAAAGAAAAAAATCATTTTCTTAGAAGAATCAAGGGATATACAGGAGAATTCATGAGAAGGGAAACCCAGATGACCAAGAAGTTCACAAAGAGTTTGTCAACCTCACTAGCTATCAGAAATGCAAATTAAAACGGTGAGATGTGATTTTAGACCCATGAGATTGGCAAAAATCACCAAGACAGATACTATTAAGTGCTGGTGGGGTGTGGAGAAGAGGGAGCCCCTAAGAGCTGCTGGTGAGAGTGAGCCCCAAGCAGGTAAGTGATGAATTTTTATAGAAAATCATTACGCAAATTCAATACAGACAGACCTGCAATAGGAATCCCACCTCTGCTGAGCTCAGCCCAAGGGCACCACCAGGCCCCTGGGTACCGCTGCAGAGAGTACATCCCCTGGGAAGTGTCCATCACACGTACTCCTGGTGACATCTTTCCCCTATGTGCAGGCTTTCTTCAGCAAAACCTGGAAACCAGGCCCTGGTGAGAGCTCTCACCCCCAGCCCATCCTGGAGCCAGCTCGTGGTCCAGCTGTTGATGCTGGCCCAATGGGGACATGGAATCAGGACTCTGACCCTCAAGAAGGCAAGATACCCCAGTCCCTTTCTGTGCTCCAGCCTGGCATCCTAACCTTTCTGCCTCACCGCCGGTATTAGTTTTCTATTGTTGCGTTAAAAATTACTACGAACTCAGCAGCTTCAAACAACACACATTTCTCATCTCATCTCTGGGGTCTGGATGTGGCTTAGCTGGATTTTTTGCTCGGGGTCTTACAAAGCTGTAATCAAGGCATGAGCTGGGCAGTGTTCTCCTCTGGAGGCTCAAGAGAGGAAGACTCTGCTTCTGAGTTCATGCATTTCCCTGCAGCTGCAGGAAGGATGCCCAGCTCTCTTGCTGTCAGCTGGAGGCCACTCCCTGATCTTAGCAGATGTCTGAGGTTCCTTGCCAGGTGGGCTTCCCTGACACTGTTGCTTACTCCATCAAGCCGGCAAAGGGAGGCTGTCAACCTGGGAAGGGCTCCATCCCTCTTTTAAGGGCTTTCACCTGATTAGGCCAGGCTCACACAGAATAATCTCTGCTTCGATGAACTCAGAATCAACTGATTCAGGATCTTAATGACACCTGCAAAATCCCTTTCCCTTTGCCATATTCTGTGAGGTGGGGCAAGTCCCAGGGCCCACCCTTACCCAAGGGGAGGGAACTATGGATTGAACACAGAGCGGGAAATCATGGGGCCACACTGGGGTCTGTCCACCAACCTGCCTGACTGCCTTCCTGAAGGGAGAAGCCTCAGGCAGCACAGGACAGCCCAGGGAGACACAGACTTCCCAGCGCAGGGTGGGGCAGGGCAGGGCTCCAAACCTCTGACCGGAGGGAGGGTTGACAGGGATGAAGCTGGAGTGCTTGTCGACCTGGGGTGTGGAGGAGGCTGAGAGAGAAGGATGGATGGGAAAAGAGGACCTGGGAGGAAGGTTGGCCTCTTGGGCAGCAGAAATAAGTGAGGGAAGGGTGGGGCAGCAGGCAAGGGTGTTGTCTGTGGGTTCCCTGGGATGGTCATTGAATTTCTCCATTTCCAGCTGAGAGGGCCCCGGAAGGGAGCCCCTCCTCACTTAACGTCAGCCTCTTACATGGGAGCCCTTTTTCTGCCCCGTCACCCTTGCCATCGGGGGGGCCCACACACCCCTGCTCCGCTCAGCATTCACAGGCACCCAGGAGGTCAGCTAAGGGGCAGCTGGGAGGGCACTGTATGTCCTCATAGAGGGACAGTGGGAGGATTGTCACAGGGCAGACGTGACCTCAGCCTGCTGGGCTCTGCTCATCCTGCTTCAGGGAAGAACACTGTCAAATAGAAACAAGCACCCACTATGCTGCGTCTCCTCCCACCACTGGGTTTGGACCAGGCAGGGGCCCTCTCGGCAGGGTCAGAAGGTCCAACGCCTGGGCCCTGGCCTGGGAGCCCGGGCTTTAGGTCTCTGTGTCCTACCGAGGGACAAGGCATGAGGAACTGGTGGCCCGGCAGGCATGAGCCCTGCATCTAGGACCCTGCCCTGCTCCCCTGCCCATCTCATTGCCCAGATCTTGAGAGCTTCTGTTTTCTCTGCTTCTGTACCTTGACTGCCTTTGATCCCTCTGTGCCTGCCGAGCTGCGGGCTGGATGGGGTACCTTTCTGCTCTGACTGGGCCAAGGAGGAGTCCCAGGCCTGTGCCACTCACCAGACCCTGGGCTCTGGGTCTGCAGCAATGTCCTCTCACATTCTGGCCTACTTGCCACTCACAGCCTAACCGGAGAGCTCCCAGGGCCAGCTCCACCCACCCCGGAACCAAGACCCCCAGCCTCTGCTGATGCTCTAAGCAAGCAAGATTTTAGAGCAAGACACATGCAGTCAGAGGAAGGGCCCTGGCACTGGGGATACCCCTCTGAGCCATTCTGGACCTGGCTTTCTCACGCACCAGGCCTTGGCACATGCCGATCCACTGCATCTGACTTTTGTACGCAGACCACAGAAATTAGCTTTGACTAATTTACTTAGAAAAGGATTTTCATGGAAGGATGTCAGGTGGCTCACTGGATTATCAGGACGGCTGGAGAAATGGGCTGGGAACAGGCAGGAACCAGGGAGTGAGCAGAGCTGGACAGAATCCCCCACGGGGACGGCAGGCTAGGACCTGCCACCCCTCGGTGGACACTGCTGGATTCTCCAGTCCCTTCAGCCTCTCTCTGAAGCCTTGTATCATGCCCTCCAGAGTCAAAGCCCCAGGGAGAAGGGTTTGACTGGTCAAGAGTAAGTCCCAATCATCACTCTGGCCAAGGAGCGAGGAGAGGATGGCAGCCCCCATCATCTTCTGTGGTGGGAGGAGGTGGGCTCGGCTTCCTGGAGAGGCCCTCCACCAGAGGAAGGGTGAAGGCACCACATTCTCAGGTTAGCTCCCCATCTTGGCCAACACTGGGGGCTCAGTACTGCCAGGGTGCACCAGACTATGCCGCAGGGGTTGAGGTCCCCCTGACTTGTCTCAGGATGGCTGGGAGGCAGGTCACTCTTTGGACCTGGCAGTGCACTATATGGTGACAGCAAGTGACTGTGCCTTGTCTAATCCCAGAACTGGGCCCCCAACCAAGCTGCCCAGGTCTCTGCTTCATGCCAAAGGTCCTGCATCTCTGATCTGTGTTCTATTACTCGGAATTTCGGACTTTTTCCATATTTGGTACCTGACTCACAGACTTAGGTTTAACTTAGTGCTTAGCTCCTCTAGCAAACGGCCACCCTCAGAGCCATCAAATGAGGGCTTTCTTCTGTGATTTTCAAAGATTCCCCATTAACTTGCTTGTTGGCACTGAATAAGGACACAGAGTTGTGTCCCCAGAGAATCCCTGGCCTAGGCTGGGCTGGGCTGGGGGTGAGCAACCCGGAGCAGCAGCCTCCCAGTTGCTGCCCTTGAAAGTGGCCAGCATCCGGGCCAGCAAGAGAGAGACTGTTCTCGCAGTCCCAGACCTACAGGCATCTCTTCTTTTCACTGCTCAGGACACGGGCCTGGGAAGGACTGGGCTGCCTGTCCCCGCCTCAGCTCTGCTCCGGCCTCCCGCCCCTACTGACTCGGCCTGCTTGCTCCAGGGGTCTGAGCGCTGAGCCTGAGCATGCAGTGGGGTCCGGCATCCCCACCCCTCCAACACCGTAAGGCTCTGGGGGCCCACGTAGTCGGGGAGCAGAGCCAAGAGGCTGCAGCTGTAAGAGGTTGTTCCTTTCGAGCCTGTCCAGACCCTGACAGAGGCTCAGACCCTCGGAAGGAGCAGAGGACCCCCAGGGCTTCTTGGATTGGCCAGCTAGCTGCCCACCTTAGGATGAGGAATTTGCCCTCCAAGTGAGGGGATCAGATTGCACATTCCTGGGGCCTGAGTCACTCCTGGCTTCTGCTCCAGCGTTCAGGAATGTGTTTATGCTGCCGGCTGGGAGGGCAGCTGAGGGCCTAAGAGGGATTGCACAGGCCCTGTGTCTGTTCACTCCATATCCGGCTGGCTTGGGTGAGGGATGAGGGGCTCTCTCAAGGATGGGGGTAGAGGGCAAGGCTGTGACCTCCAGAGCTACTGTGATGACGTTCTGTGTGGGCCCCAGAGGACCAGAGGAGGGGAGGGCCAGACTCAGGCTGGAATGGAAGCGTTTGTCTTGTCCAGAGCTGGCTTGAACTTGATCCCAAGGGACAGAGAGTGGAGAGTGGCCAGTCCAAGCAGAGCCTCCCCTGCGGTGACCCTGGGAAAGGAACTTGCTACCCCACCATCTCCTTCCGTGGAGGACAACCTCCCAGAGCGTGCAGAGGGCTTGGGGCAGCTCTGGCTGCTCCGGGCTTCGCCTTCAGAGTAGTGGCTGTGAGTCCCAGCCCCTCACCTCCGCCCCATCCAGGGCTCTCTTTTTCTGTCTCTGATGTGGGCCACGCAGCTGTGGAGAGAGCCCACACACACTTCAGCATCACTGGCTGCTGTCATATTCAGGTAGGCCCCGCGCTAAGGTCTTTACACAGTGCGGCCCTGGTTTGCCTAGGACAGTCTTGGGATGCTGAACGATTATTAATAATGACTCCTTGCACTCTCAGAAGTGTCCTGCTCTGAAAGATAAGTATATGTTTGCCCAAATTTTATAGGTATTGTTTTATTTAATCCCCACAATGCCCTACAAGAGGGAAACTGCTAATAGCCACGATTTTATGATGCAGAAATAAAGGCTTAAGGAAGATAAGTAACTTGCCCAGGGTCATAGTTAGAAGTGGCAGATCCAGAAACCGGGGCCTCAGCTCGTGACTTCAAAGCCCTGTGCTTCGCCACGACACCAAACTTTCCCTACTAAAATCCTTTGATGCTTTGAAGGACTGAGAATCTAGTATCTCCAAATAGTAGAGAAATAACAATTAATTAAAGTCCTGGAGTTATCTTGGCTCTCTCCCCAGCCCCACACTTTGGCCATCTTTGCCAGGTTGTTCCCTCTCTGAGAGATGGTGTGGACAAATCTGATTTGCTTCTTGGCAGCGGCAGCGTCATTAAGCATCATTACTATCAGATGAACAAGCATCATGGCACCACCTGCGTGCCGGGTGTTGCACAAGGTATGATCATCTTATGCTCCCACTGACCCTGCAAGTTGGGCATTACGGTCCTCCTTCCATTTAAGGAAAGTCCAGAGGGCATACATCTGGGAGGAGGCAGAGCTAGGTCTAGAACTTGGGATCCTAGCTTTGAGCTGAGGGAACTCTCCCTGGTGCACCATTTTAGTGCATGCACTACAGAAGCACGGTATGGGTTGCCATTTGGGCTACAAGGGAATGTGGTTCCAGCAGGCCTATGGCAGACAAATGGCTAAACCACATGTAGGGACCCACAAATCCTCAAGGCCCCCAGGCATGCTGGCTACCAAGGAGCCAAGGTCATCTTGCCCAAAAGGACAGAAATAAACCCTTTGAGTTGGTCTGACCATACACAGATGAGCTTCACTTGAGGATACATTACATTCAAGAGGTTTTCACATAGTATTTTCCCTTCTTTGGTGGGAAAGATCAGATGTCTTTTAGAACAGAGAATGGCTACATTTCAGGTGGAGCACAAGCCATGGCTGAAGCCCAAACCTCCCTGCTGCAGTTTCTGCACCCAGAGATCGTCACACTGTAACATAGAGCCTCTTCCCCACCAACACGCTGGCCTCAGGGGAAGAAGAAATAAAAACAAGCACATTCCAGATGCTCTAGGGAAAATGGGATTTGGGAAAAGGATGTTTGTTCAAAATCTACCAAAAATAGAGAACCAAGAAGAGGAAGAAGCAACCTCTTGACCCACTTGAAAAAGCTATTTCCGGGACGGACTTCCTAAGTAATGGACCATGTCCAAAAAGAAAAGCCAATGGCTTTGACAATGTAAAAATGTACCGCTTTGCTATAAAAACCATCAAAAACAAACATAAAAGTAATCAACACACTCAAACACATATGCCACAAATGTTACAAGGGCAATGGATAGAGAGCTCATTAAATGATTTTTGCATAAATTCATCAAAACCTTGTTAGAAAAACAGGCAAAGGAAGCAGGTGATTGACCCTTCCAAATTTTAAAATGGCTTAATAATTATGAACGTTTTTGTTTTGTTGATAATCACATAAGTTATGATTCTGAAATACCATTATTTGCCTTTTGGATTATAGGATTTGCTTTACTGGTATTGCCATAAGCTGGTACAGACTCACGGCACCGGCCCTCTTAGACCTGCGCTGGTGGCAGCCTGTAAATAAGCCAGGGGTGTCCCTTCTAGGAACACTATCACAGAACGTATCAAAGCTATTTAACTAGGACACTTAAATACCTGGGCGTTTTCTCTGAGGAAATAATTAGAAATTCAAACAAAAATTACAGACAAAGATGGTCAAGAAAGGGAATGTGCAATAGCAAAAAACGGAAGTCCAGGTGTTCCAAAATAGGTAAATAATTAATATATTATAGTACAGCTATGTGACGACACGGCCCTTCAAAATGGTATTATTGAAGCATGTCTGTGCAACGGGAAAAGAACTATGAAACATTAAGCAGCAAAGCAATGATATGATCCCAATGTTAAAAAGCATATGTACTTATATGAATGACACGGCCGTAGAGAAACATGACAACCATCAACCACGTAAACCAGTGGCAGGAAGAGTAAGTCATGCTGATGTCCCTTCAGGCACGATTTCTGAAGCATATAAGCTGGGACTATCCCCTGCCCTCCGAGGGGCAGGTACGCATGTCATGAGACCATTTCATTTTTCAGAAGATGGAGGCGGGACTGAGCATGGGGCAGGAGCTTGAGGGAAGGTTCTCTGTGCTTTTCTATATTTTCAAAAATTTATAAGGGAGAAGGGTATAGCTCAGTGGTAGAATATGTGCTTAGGATGCACAAGGTCCTGGGTTCAATCCACAGTCCCTCCATTAAATAAATAAACAAATATTTATATATCAGGTTTATATTACGTCCATAGTTGGAAAAATGATAAAGGTTACTTTAAAAATAATATGCATTCTTTCATTTCTTACTAAAGGAAAAGGTCATCTGAGTTATTTCAAATCAATTTTTCCACTGGCAGCTCACAAGCCGGAGGGTCCCAGCTCCCTCATGGGAGTGTAGTGTGGCCCGGCATGGGGCCTGGCAGTCTGTCTGCCCCTCCTCTGCGTGCCCTCAGAAAGCAAGTTGACCAATAGGCACGCAGGGCAGATCCACAGGATATCTCTCCTAAGGGGGCTTTCCCTGGGTCCCTTTGGCCTCAGTGCTGCTGCAAGGTCCCAAGCTCAGGTAGGCTCTACATTCTGAGAACCTGACTTCTCCAGGGTGAGGGCTGCCAGGTGGAGAAAGGCCGGGGTGTCCATCTCATAACTTCCCTTGGGGACCAGATGCTGCCAATCAAGGCAAGGGACCGAGGACCAAAGCCACTGTTACCCAGTGCTGTCCTCTCCATCCCTGTCCACCCAGGCACTGAGTGTTCCTCCTGAGGCTCCCCTCCTCAGCCCTAACTCCACCCTGGGGCCACAAAAGAAGACCCCAACCCCTCCTGGATGGATTCAGCATTTGTGGACGATGAGCACATCACCATCAGAGCCTTCTCTTCTCCAGTTGTCACACCCAGTTCCTCCAGCCCTTCCTCAGGCAGCCCCTGAGGGTCCTCACCTACTTGCTCTCAACTGAACACACTGCAGGATCTGACTGCGTGGGGTAGAGCCAGGCTCCAACCTCCTCATTCTGGACGCTAAACACCCACTGAATGGGACCTAAATGGTGAGTGTTCCTGAAGGTTCCTCATGCATCCCCTCCTGTAGAGCCTGCTGTCCACCAAACTCCCAATCCACGGGTGTCCGGGAGGGTGACAGCATCAGGGCCAGTGCCCAGATCAGCTCTGGGGACCTGCTCCTCGTGGACGCAGTGACCTCAGGAGGTCGTCTGAGCTGCAGTGTTGGACTCCACGACTGCACTAGGAGTCAGGAGACCAAGTCGGCCTCTGTCTTTGCCTCCAAGTCACCACTTGATCTTGGTGAGACTCTCAGCTTCTCTGTCCTCCATCTGCTCATCTCTAACACGAGGCATTAGTTCTGCTGCCTGCCTCTTGTGAGGACCTACGCAGGCTGTGTAGACCGGATCAGTGGTCTATAGGATCCATGCGGTCTCTGAGGGAGGGAGTTGATTCCAGGACTTAACGGCCAGCAGCACCTGGAAGCCTCCCCTTTCCCTGAACCCCAGGCCATCTCCTCGGGGCCCTCCAGCGCTCTCTGCCTGACCACAGAGTTCCGTAGGCTTTCGCTGGGTCCTCAGCTGCTTCAGCTGTTTGGTAGCTGCTAACGACCCTCACCCTCTTGTGCCCCAAGCTCTGTTTGGGAGACATGGAGTTACTGGGAGTGGAGAAACATTCCAAAGGCTCTGGAAGGACTTGAGCTCCTCTCTGGGAGTGCCGGGGCACGTCCAGAGCACTTGTCTGGTTGCTCTGCTCTGGCTCCCCTTGGAGGTGGGGGTGAGCACTGCCACAGGCTACTGAGGGGCCTATCTGGACCAGACCCATCTCTGGTTGACCCTGGACATAGACTGAGGGACAAGGCCTTGGATGCGGGGGCAGGTGGGGAATGATGTGTGAGGGGCAGTGAGGGGATGATGTGCAAAGAAGTCTGGCAGCTGAGGCTGTCCGATTTCCAAGTGCCACGATGAACCACATGTGTTATCTTGAAGGTAGATCCAAAAGCCTCAAGTTCCAGGATCACAAACACCCTGGACCCTGACATGTAAAAGACGGAGAATTCTAGGTGCCGTACATCTTATGGTTCTGAGACGTTGTTCTTAGGATCAGCATGCCCTGGCTGCCCTCCTCCACAATAACACGTTCCATACAAACCCAAGGGGGCCCTGCCTCGCCTTACTTGAAGCCAGCCACTTCTGCCCGGATGGTGCACAACAATCCTGTCGCCAGGAAACCAGGGTTGAGTTCTCCAAAGGGAGGTGCTTATCAGTCACCCCAGAACAGGGCCTGCGCACACTAAACATGGTCCTGGAGAAGCTCAGCAGCTCTGTCTGGCGCGGCGCTCCCAGCACAGGATGCTCTCCCTGGGCGGGTCCCTGGGGAGGTTGGGAGCTGGAGTCAGCCTCGCCCCAGGACAGGCCCTAGTTTTTGTGAAGGAGACACTTCTGCAGGTCACAGAGTTTAACGTCCCCCTCGTGATGATGACAAGGGCGGGGCAGGCCACTAGGTATGTCCCTGAATCTCTGCAGCAAGTACAGCAGCCTCTACAGGGAGGCTCGGCCTCACCCTGCCTGGGGGAGACAGAGCCCCGCGCAGCCTGCCGGGAGGGTATGGCTGCCCAAAGGACAGAGGCACAGCAGGGGTGGCTCCTTGCCCTGGGGGGCTGACTGGGCGCATCAGCTCCTCTTACGGGTGTGCAGCCCAGAATGTTCCCAGGGCCTCAGAGCCCTCCGGCCCATTCCCTGTCCCCACCCATGCCTGGGACAGCAGCCCAGAGCTGCCTAGAGCAGGGCCTTATCAGCAGGGCAGGAGGCTGGGGGGGTGTGGATGGGAAGCAGAATGGGGAGTTGCCTTAAACACTGAGGTTAAGGATGAGGTCGGCATTCAAGGACCCACACCTGACCCAACTGCTTTCTCCAAAGTAACTTGGACCTCTCACTGAGCCCCATCCAGGCCCAGATGCTTCTACTTAATGTCCACAGTTCTGCTTAGCACTGAGTTGGGGGCAGAAGCTGGTCCTCCTCCAGCCCCGGCACAGATGCTGGCTGCTGGGCAGGGGTCCTGAGGCTAAATGCCACTGCAGAAGGCGGAACATCCCTGGGTCCAGGAGGACTGGGTGTGATCGCTGCAGGGTCAGGGGAAATGGCTGCTTCCCTATGAGCAGAGAGCCCAGTGTCAACATGGACATAGCCACACACACTTACCCCTTAGCTGCTAGAGGACAGGGACCCAGAACTGGATGTTTGGGTCCCATCAGTGAAAGCGGTTCCATGATGGGCCCAGAGGAGAGGAGGGATGTTGGGAAACCAGAGAACTGGTGACCAAGTGCTGTGACAGTCTCTGTCCCAAGAGGGGAAGCGTGGACGTGCCCAAGCGGAAGGCTCTCCCTCCAGCCACGGGGTCACGGTGTGAGGAGATTGATGCTGGGCTCACCTGGAGTCCTCCCTCCAGATCACTCACCTACCCAGTGCGTGGCCTCCCTGCAAGGTCTGGTACCAGAGGAGCTCAGACAGCTGGGTGTTGGGGCCCCGGCCAGCTCTAGGATCCATATTGTTCACAGCTGGGAAAGGAATTATGGGGGCAGATGCTGTGAGGATTTCATGCCCCAGATCTATCGAGAGAACGATGACTGAAGGTCCTGTGGGTGCTGGAGCCCCCAGCAGCCCCAACTGGATCAGCGGGTCCCAGGTGCCTGGTACAGAACTGGCACTCCGTCAACATCATGAATGAATAAATGAATGAGGCAAAGGCATCAGAGGCCACCCAGGTCTCAGCAGTTCTCAGGCTGCCCCTGTTTGAACTGCCTCCACCCCTTTCTGCAATACACCATATTTACCCTGGGACAGAGATCCTGAGTGCCAGCAAGCGTGGCAGCTCCTAGCAGGGTAGAGCCCGAGGGAGGAACACCGGGGTAGGATGGTCATGCTGGAGGCCTGGAAACAGTCAGCCAGGTTCTAATAGTTTACAGCTGCTCTCACAATACAGGAGGCAGAGTCCAAGCCTGCCCCCGCCACTGAAGAGGGACGTCTCCATCTGCACCTGTGTCCCTGTGATGCCACCAGCCCCTCCCTCCATGAGAGCTGCCAAGAGAAGAGAGACCTTTGTCATCTTCGTGGGACAAGAAACAGCCCTCCTGTGGCACACTCTCTCCTGCTTTACAGAAAAAGGGCCAAGTCTGGCTTGAAGCCACCCATCACCAGGCCACACAGAGCCTCAAACATGAATGTGGCCTCCAGCCCCCAGAGACCCACAGCCATTTAGAATCTGGGAGCCCCGAGAATCAGAAGCTGCCAGAGTGTTTGCTGTCAGACTTGCACCAGGCCACACGTGCAGCCTGCTGCCCTCTGGCTGCTTGGAGCCCTGTGTGATCTCGTCTAAGATTTCCGAGCAGGAGCACAGCCACGGCGGCTATGTGGGCGAGACTGTGAAATCTGACACTAACTGGTGGGTCCGGCGGTAGGTGGTGTGTGTGGATTTTCAACAGTGGGCTGTGATGTTGAAAATCCACTTGGATAAACCAGGATGATCTTATCTCAAAATACTTATTTAATTACATCGATAAAGACCCCATATCCAGAACATTTGCAGGTTGTGGGGGTTAACATGTAGACTATCTTGGAGAGCCATGACTCAACTTACAACACAGCAGTTCATGACACACCCCAAGTATTTACACTGAGCCATGCGGCCCTGTGGGATCTGGGCCCTCTCATCTCACCTCCCCTCCTCACATGTTTCGACACTCTTTGCTTTGCCATCCTGGAATGCCCCGTCTCTCTCCCCTCCTTCCCCTTTTCCTCCCATTCCTCTCCTGGAAAACTTCTAGTCATCCTCCAAGATCCCAGGTCCTCTGAGAAACTTATGTTGATCTCCCTCCTCCCTGCAACCCATATACACAGGCAAAGTGGTCCCTTCTTCCTCTCTATACTCCATCCTCCCCACCATCAAAGTATTCCTCCCACTGTGTTTGAAGTACCCTGTTCCTTGTTTGTCCCCACACGAGTCTGGGCTCCTTCAGAGCCTGGTGTCTTTTCATCATTGCCATTCCCTGGATAGGCCCTGGAGATGCCCCATGAAGTCCTGAAGCAGCCACTTTGGCAAACTGGACTCTGGGTAGGATTTGGGCCACTTGAGTGTGTCTGGGGTCCAGCTCAGGGCCTCCCTCATGGACACATAAAGTGTCTGAGTCTGCGTCACTGCTAATCTCCACCTGAAGAGGGAGGCCCACAGGAGGCAAGGCTGTAAGACCTGCCACCCGAAGGTGCCTCCTCCCCCACCCCAGGGCCCCTGAGCTCCCTCCATGTTCATGGTGTGGCCCTGAAACATGAGCTTTACAGGCCATGGGCAGCACAAGGCCCTTGGCCTCAGCCCCGGACATTTTCCACCAGCCCAGCAGGAAACAGGCTTCAGTTCTGGGACTCTAGAGCAAAAGATCACTTCCAGGGCCAGGTGGCCATGGCAACATCACCGCTTCCCGCCCTCACCCTTCCCCAGCAGCCTCAGACTAGTGAAGGGTCCTCATAAACTCTGATTTTATCCAAATTTACCTTTTCAGCCTAAGGGAGGTCTTGTGCTTTCTGTTGCGCGCTGGCCAGATTTCCAGGTGTCCTGGGTGATCTTGGATCTGCCGCTGACTTGCTGGGGGTTCTAGCAAGGTCCTGAGACTTCTGCCTCCATTTTCTCAGCTGCAAAAGAAGAAAGCTGATTTCGAAGAGAGCTGATCAAAACTGGGCTGTAGGAACCTTAGGGATTCCCCAGACATTAGAGTACTTTCGCCAAGCAAAATATTTTGCCTGGAGAAAACTTCTGATTGATTTTTTTATGTCAGAGCTCTGGGCAAGATTTTTTTTTTCTAGGAAAAAATAAAAGAAGGATTTTCACTGATTAAAAAAAAGTTCTGAAAACTACTGGATATGATTTCTATGCATTTAGAAATCCAAACAGTGTGCACTCACACTGTAGTAGGTTCTCAAAGATTAGGTCTGGGAGAATTCAAGGGAAGAGAGCCGCTTTCTGTTTCCCAGCCCATAAACTGCGTGGTTGTTTTCATGACTCTTATTTATCTTTCCCAGGCATGGCCAGAGGGCCTGGCAGCCTCCTTAGCAGGGGCCCCACTGCCTCAGTGCCTGGAGCATGGCTCAGCCCCGGGTGGTTAGAAAGACAAAAATGGGGACACCCCCCCGAGGTCCCCACTTGCAGTGAAGTAAGTGTCAATGTCTGAATTTCTCTTATGTAAGACTAACTTCTTTGCATATATCATTGTGCAATTTAAGCTCTTCTTTCAAACCTCCCTCTTCCTTCTCCAGGGGCTGCTGAGATGGTTAGCTGAGCTTCTCCCTGGCAGGGGGTCCTGGATGCCTGAGAGAAAGGGGACTGATACTGGGGAGGTGAGGGGTGGGGTGGGGAGTGGTGGGAATGGGTAGCGGGTGGAAATTCAAGACGGGCACAGGAACCCAAAGTCTGAGTCCTGTCCCTTGGGGTCTGCGGCCTGCTGGAGAGATTGCTAAACCCTGGTGGAAAAATTCTTATTTTTCTGCTTAGACCCCTGGCATCCAATTCAGGCCAGTAGCAGAGGCTGTTGAGATTCTGAAACAGGAAATGGGGCAAGAAGATGGAAGAGCTGTCACAGCCCAGGGCCGAGTGAGGACACAGCTGTTCCAGCATGTCTCATACTCCCTGCTACCCTGGTGCCAGGGAAATACATCCTGTGTGGGCAATCCTGCCAGCCACTGTGAGCCACCTGGACTCATGCCCAGTTGGGGACATAGGTCTGCATCACCCCAACTGTCCTGGCCACCCAAGTCAAATGAGATTTGGGAACTTTAAAATCAGATTTGGATACTTACCAAACCAGGGCTCTTTCTCAGGGGAGAGAACTGGGATTAGAGACAGAGGCCAAAGGGGCTTTGTTCCTTCTCTGCAATGTTCTACTTAATTTATTTATTTATTTATTTATTTACTTACTTACTTACTTACTTACTTATTTATTTAAGGAAAATACATTCATGGACTACTTGGGTAATAATAATGATTTTTTAAGTGTATTATTATTTTTTTTTAAAGATCAGACCTAAAAAACTTACTGTAAAAATATCAATTGTCTTACAAGAGATGTTCCCTTTCCAGAGCTACGGCTGGGGGTTGCCTGGTTCAGACAGTGCTCCTGACTTGCCGAATGGTTTGGAATCCGATCTGGCTCCTTGGGCCTCAGTTTCCCCATCTGTATGTACCAGGGGGAGGTGGACCTGATAGTCTCCAATGCCCTTCAGCCCTGACATCAGGTAACAAGAAGCTTCGCCATCTGCCTGGGTTGCGCTGGGCCTTCTCTGTGCTGAGTGTTCACTTCAGAAGGAGGGGATTGGGCGGTCAGCTGGGAGTGGTCCCAGGTCTGTGTGGGAGACAGCAGAGTAGCCCTGGGGCTCTGTGGGCAGGAGAGCTGAGCTGCCTTCCTGGGGAGAGTCATGCCCGGCCCCAGAGAGCCTCTGGAGTCCCCCAGTCTCAGGGCAGTCAGACCAGGTGCCGGCATCGCGGCGGGGTGAGCTGTGCCTCTCTCTGAGTTTGGGCCTGCATGTGCCATTAAGACAGAGTTGGTCTGGTTAGGGACATTGGCCCAGTGACCCTGCCCCCGGCACCAATCACTATGACAACAGCTCAATAAGGTCCCAAGGGCCTAAGAATCCTGCTTCCACTGAGAGTGAGGTTGGTGAGGTCAGACAAAGAGGGATTAATAGAGCCCTGTTCTCATTAAGCCACAAAGCGCCATTATTACAAGTCGCCACGGCGCTACCAGGAGATGCATCAGACTTTCAAGTCACAGAGAGCCCAGTACACTGAAGAGAATGGTTCCAGGGCCAGCCTCAAAGTCACCCTCAGCCCAGAATCAAAGGAGGAGGAGAAAAACTAGAAACCACCCAAATGTCTAATAGACGGTTACATGAAGCCTGGGGCAGCCGAGCGATAGCACATGGATCACAGTCATTCAAATGATGATGCCGATTGTACTTAACGCGGTAAAGTCCTCATGACTCACGGAAATAAGGTCACAAAGCTGTCAATAAGATGCCATTTTTATTTTTTAAAAAATCATATACATATGCTCCCAGCAAAAATATAGAAGAAAATGTTTCAAAATGTTAGCAGTGGTTATCTTTGGAAAGTGAGATTATATGTATTTTCCTTCTTTGGGTTATTTGCATTTTCTATAGTGAACACATAGTTCTCTCTTGGATTTCTAAAAACTTAATTTTCTTAAAAATCTGTTCAGAAAATTAGAGGGTGCTCCTTTTTTCCCTCTGTAATCAAACTTCAGATAATAAAACACATGAATGGGCTTTGTTTTGGAGAAACAAATTTTCTTCATAACTAATATTTTATTAACTTGAGAACAAATAGTTAAAAAATTTTACATTAACTAGTATATAAGAAAATTATTCTAAACAACATTGTGTATTCTTATGCCTTCTGCCAACAGAGTACAATGAAAAAAAGTTATCATTAGCTTTCTCATTGTAAAGGGTGCAAATTATACCTTGCTATATAATAAGGCTGACCTTCAGGGCTACTGGATGAGCAGAGGTATTTGTGCCTGCATTAAATTATTCGTCTTGTTGTGTATTTCGTTTTGCTTTTTTGTATTTTTCAATCTCTTCCACTGCTGATAAACCATCAGTCTCAGGATCCCCCCTGTAACTAGTCTTTCACGCAGTTTTTAATGCGGTGCTTCTAATCTGCTGTCATCTTGGAAAAAACATACATACTTGTTAGAAGTGTGCATAAACTCAGAGAAGTAGATCTGAGTGAGGGGTTCAAGGTAGAGTCTCTGACAAGCTGAGTTCCAGAGTGGAGAGGGGCTCAAAATTAGTGGCTCTTATAGGCTGGGGTTAAATCATGTTATATCACGTTAGTCATGTTAAAAAGTTTGGACTTTATCCTGAGGGCAATTGGGAGCTATTGAAGAATTTCAAGAAGGGAAGTGAGGTGTTCATATCTGTGTTTTTGAAAGATTGCTAAAACAGGGACAATTTCATGGGGGGAAAAACTGTTGGCAGGAAGAGATGTGGATCTGGAAACAGAAAGGAAAGGAAATCGGGCTGTGAAAAGTTAGCTTTTTGGGACATTATATACATATTCTCTTCTAGCTGATAAACCCAAACATATTCTTTCTTTAAGAGGAACCACAGGAGAAATTTTTTTCCAGCCTCTGTGCCAGGAAAAGCTTTGCCTCCCCTAAGATATAGATACATGTTTATCTCATGGGCCTGTGAATCCTACAAATAATTGTATTTTCCTCTTTGCTTTGGTTACTAGGAAGCTCTATGTATGTAATTCTACATACTGATTTTACCCTTGGCTTCATCTTAGATGCGTACTTTCCTTTTGCCTAGAATTTTTTATTTATGGTATCCTTTTGTATTATTTGAATTTTCATAAGTGGCATCAAATTATTTTTGGAATGAAGTGAAGTAAAAGAAAAGAATTCTTCAAAAGTCCAAGTTTGAAAAAACATGAAAAGAATCAATACCTCTTGCTGGTTTGGTGTGGGCATATTTCTCTATGTTAGAATATTGCTTTAGAAAACTAGGAAGTCTATGACACCAAAAGAATGAATTGCCGAAGAAAAACTAGATAAATTAGATTTCATAAAAACTTAACATTTTTATGCTTCAAAGAACACTGTCAAGAAAGTGAAAAGATAGCCCACAAAATGAAAGAAAATATTTGCAAATCATATATCTAGGTCATTTGACATCTTGGCCCTCAGCTGAGGAATCAATAGCTTTTTAGTCTACACCCTGCACCCTGCTTCCCTCAGCAACTGTATGAGCCAGCCTGCTTTTAAACAATCCCCAGGGATAGCCCTGGGTCTGGAGTTCTTAGTCATGAAATCACAGAACATCCATTCCAGGCCCCCTCATATTCAAAACGAAAAGACTGAGGCACAGAGATGGGCAGGCCAGGCCACAGTGGCCTCTCCAGCCCAGTTCTCTGGAGGAGTTGGAAGCATTCACTAAGCCCCTCCAGTGTGCTACGCGCTGCTCCATGGTCCACTTGTGTCCCCTCTCTTAATCCCAACAGCAAACCTATGAGGTGGATATTATTTCCCCACTTTTAGTCGCCCAAGGTCATTTAGCCCCAGCTTGTCCAACACCGAAGACCATGCTCATTCTGCTGGACAGGTCCCCCAGTGTCTCCATTTCAGAAGTGGAGCAGGTCACCCTCATCCTCCAAGAGGGACTCTGGTCCCCGACTCTGGATTTTCAGGACATTCTTGGGCCTCACCTGCCTGCCCTCCTCTCTCCTTTCCCCTGCTCATTTCTCTCGCTAAATGCTGGATTCTCTGCAGCTCAGCCTCCTCTGGTCTGACCCTCTCTAAACTTGAGCTTAGGAGTGTCCATTTAAACTCCCATGGAAGAAAAGGAGAAAGAATTACAGATGCTCCCAGTTGTAAGTCTTGAGTCTATCTCTCAGGATGTCTTTTGTTGCCAAGGAAAATGAAGCAGATGTCTTGGCAATAGTTTCAAATGTTTCCTGCCAGACCAGAGGAGAGCCTGTCTTCAGGTTAGATGCAGCCAAGAAAGACAAGTCCCAGGCCTTATTATTCCCAGGAAACCCACAAACACACACAGGCTTCTGAAACCTGGGAGGCCTGCTCTCCCAGCAGCCTCTCTCACCAGGCTTCAGCATCAGCTGTAGAAACACACTGCCTCCCTCTGCCTTCAATGGCTTCACAACTTCCCTCCTCCACGGCCCCCCAGATTTCACATCACTCCCTGCTTCCTGGCATCGGGTAACTCCTTGGCCTTCTGACCAAACTTCCTCACTGGGCTTGTTCTCCATCATGTCCTAAATACACTCGTGTGTGTGTGTGTGTGTGTGTGCGCTAAAATACACACAACGTAAAACTGACCATTTTAAAGTGTACCATCCAGTGGTGTTTTAATACATTCACCACGTTGTACAACCATCACCACTATCTGCTTCCAGAAGATTTCATCACCCCAAAGGAAAGCCCATACTTA